TCTACAACATTTATTTTTTTCTATTTAATATAATTAAAGAAAGAAGAAAAGATTATATTTGATTTATCTCCATATAAATATTTAATATATCTCTCATTCTTTCTTATAAGTTTTATTATTAAAACTTATTACTTATTATAAAAATTTAATAAATTAGGAATTGTATTTATTAAAAAGAATGCCTTCTTATAAAAATAAGTTAATATGTAATTGAAACGTTTTCTTATATTTTCTGGTATCTCAATTTCCTTTGAAATTCCATATCTAATTGTATCATATTTTGTAAAACCTTCAATCTAAGGTCCCTTGATGCCGACAGAAAACTCAAACTTTTCTAAAAGTTGTTGATTATCGTCCCTCGTAAACTTGTATCAGCACGTTCAATTGATTGTTGGTGATATATAATGAACACCTACGTTTGTCAAGCTTGTATTTTTTTTGCTTTTGATGAAAATAGTCATCATGCCGTCGACTGTTTCATTGTCGAGAGAGAAGCAACTATCCTGTACGTCCTCGGTCTTATCTCTATACAAATCATATACATATGGCAATCTAAATCGTCATGCTGTGGAATCTCGTCCAAGTTTATAGACTTATTTAATTCTATGTTGTAGAAGAAATCCTTAAAAAATTGACTAAAATTGATTGTGTCAATTTTCGCAAGGAATCGAAGAACAATGTTTTTCTACAATTACAATGGGAGTAGCAGGAGTCTGTTGATTTTGTCATCTAGTTTATTAATACCGTAACAAACATCTAGGGATAACCCTCGTGTCTTCTTTATAGGTGCCATTACGACTTTTCTCTGCAAAACGGAATAGTGATGGACATATGGAAATTGAATCACACTTTAATGTATTTTGTTATCGAACCATTTAGCATTATCTTGGCTTTTATCACAGGAAATTGAATCAAATATTAATTTACCTGATTAAACAACGAGTTGTTTCAACTATGATATGTCTTTGAAATATACACTTCGGTTGACAAAGCAATGGCATGGGATTAGCTATAACTTGTAGAAGCTCTTTAATGTACGTGCTATCTTCGTTAATTTACTAACGAGACTACTATATCATGAATCTTTGTTTTATCTTATCTATTTTAGCGTCACGTGCCTTCTCTATAGGCGCTTTCCACGATGCTTTTAAAGAGATTCCGATTTAGTTCCTCGAAACGAAACGAGTGTGTGATCAAAACATAAAAATGATGTCACACATCCACACACAGCAAAGCATCAATTTTGAAATCTGCTTAGAAGAATCCTTTTGTCATGCTCACAAACAGTTTTCAGCCAATAAACAGCTCGCTTATCCTTTTTATCAAATCTTTTTTGTATTTTCTCATAAATCGCGCGAAATATATAACCAAATGATCAATTATCAAAATTTGTCAAAACATCTCTAATGTAGTTTATACTTTATATTAAGTT